GAGGGGGTGACTAGTGACAGAGTGAGGGAGGGTGTCACTAGTGACAGAGAGAGGGAGGGGGTGACTAGTGACAGTCACCACCTCCTTCACTCTGTCACTGTGTCACCCCCTTCCTCACTCTGTCACTAGAGTGAGGGGGTGACTAGTGACAGAGTGAGGGGGTGACAGAGTGAGGGAAGGGGATGACTGGTGACAGAGTGAGGGAGGGGATGACTGGTGACAGAGTGAGGGAGGGGGTGACTAGTGACAGAAGAAGGGAGGGAGTAGTGACAGAAGGAGGGAGGGAGTAGTGACAGAAGGAGGGAGGGAGTAGTGACAGAGGGAGGTGGTGACTAGTAACAGTCACCACCTCCCTCACTCTGTCACTAGTCACCCCTTCCTTCCCTCACTCTGCCACTAGTCACCCCTTCCCTCACTCTGTCACTAGTAACCCCCTCACACTAGTGACAGAGTGAGGGAGTGACAGAGAGAGGGAAGGGGGTGACTAGTGACAGAGTGAGGGAGGGGGTGACTGGCACTAGTCACCCCATCCCTCTCTCTGTCACTAATCACTCCCTCCTAACTCTGTCACTGTGTCACCCCCTCCCTCACTCTGTCACTAATCACCCCTCTGTACTTAGTGACAGAGTGAGAGAGGGGGTGACTAGTGACAGAGTGAGGAAGGGGGTGACTAGTGACATAGTGAGAGAGGGGGTGACTAGTGACATAGTGAGAGAGGGGGTGACTAGTGAAAGAGAGAGGGAGGGGGTGACTAGTGACAGAGAGAGGGAGGGGGTGACTAGTGACAGTCACCACCTCCTTCACTCTGTCACTAGTCACCCCTTCCCTCACTCTGCCACTGGTCACCCCTTCCCTCACTCTGTCACTAGTCACCCCCTCACTCTAGTGACAGAGTGAGGGAGTGACAGGTGACAGAGTGAGTGACTAGTGACAGAGTGAGGGAAGGGTGACTGTCACTAGTCACCTGCATCCCTCCGTCACTAGTCACTCCTCCTCAACTTTCACTGTGTCATTTGTTACCATTCTTGTCATTGTCACTCTTTCCCTCACTCTGTCACTAATCACCCCTCTGTCCTTAGTGACAGAGCGAGAGAGGGGGTGACTAGTGACAGAGAGTGAGGGAAGGGGTGACTGTCACTAGTCACCCCTTCCCTCTGTCACTAGTCACTCCCTCCTAACTCTGTCACTGTGTCACCTGCTCCCTCACTCTGTCACTAGTCACCCCCTCCCTCACTCTGTCACTAATCACCCCCTCTGTCCTTAGTGACAGAGTGAGAGAGGGGGTGACTAGTGACAGAGTGAAGAAGGGGGTGACATAGTGAGGGAGGGGGTGACTAGTGACATAGTGAGAGAGGGGGTGACTAGTGACAGAGTGAGAGAGGGGGTGACACAGTGACAGAGTTAGGGAGGGAGTGACTAGTGACAGAGAGAGGGATGGGGTGACTAGTGACAGTCACCCCCTCTCTCACTCTGTCACTAGTCACCCCCTCTCTCACTCTGTCACTAGTCACACCCTCTCTCACTCTGCCACTGTGTACTTAGTGACAGAGTGAGAGAGGGGGTGACTAGTGACAGAGTGAGGGAAGGGGTGACTGTCACTAGTCACCCCCTCTCTCACTCTGTCACCAGTCATCCCTGTGACGAGACCAATCTCGCCACATTGCATTGGAGAAGCCTGGTTGCTCGCCTGCTGCCTTTGGACTATGGCCCCCTGTTAAAAGACATCTTTTTTTCCTGCAGAAAAGCTTCATTCGTGCTTTTCTGCCCGGTGTTCGGTAGTTTTGGTTGAATGTGTTACACCCCAGATAGGAATCCCATGGAGCCCATTCGTATGAAACTGACTGTAAAGACTTTGGCTCCATGGCGATTAAACTGTATTCGTGTGGTCTGAGCGCCATTCACTTAATAATGTGCGCTCAGACCTGAGCTATCTGGGGATACGTGAAATGTCTGTGTTTTATGTATAAATGTGACTTTATGTATTTTAAAGTGTTTTGTGTCTTTTTGCAACCATGTGCTTAATGGAGTCTTGTGTCTATCCTGGGAGATAATTGAATTACTTATCTCCAGGATAGAAGACTCTGAAACTGGTTTGGGCCAGAAAGCCATGCTTCATTTAGGACTTTTTACTAACTTTTGAACCCCTTGTCTGATTTGTGCCATTTTTGAATATGTTGTTCCCCTGAATGGATTGATTGTGCATATGTAATTTTATGTGAATGTGATGTATGGTTTTAGAGTTATGAAAGTTGGGTATAAAGTATGTTTTAACTGTATGTATAATTGAGTTTCCTCTCAGGATAAGGGGAGGGAATATGTGGGATGTAACTGTGATGTGATTGGTTGTTTTATACCTCCCTGTGGGCGGTCCTGTATTTGCAAGACTGTAATAAAAACCAGGCTGGGTGTGCCAGCACCTCAGACCACTGCTTGACCGTCAACACGGAGCCTTGTCTCGTCTTTGGGGGGATTTACTGTATGCTGCTAAGGACTGATTGCCAGGAGTGTAAGCCGCTTGGAAGCTTTTCCTGTTCGCCTGCTAGCAGCTATTCGTATGGTTCCTGTTCATTTATTTGAAGTGCTACCTTATTCCCTTGTATGCCGTTCGGGAGTTTGGAGCATTCACTTATTGGCGGTTCGTGAGTTTCGGTGATTATTCAGTAGCTGTGCCTGTATCTCTGGAAAGGGGGCCGATCGCCTAAACGGTTTTTACCCCTTGTGTGCAAAACGGTCCGTTACAATCCCTTCCTTCCCTCACTCTGCCACTAGTCATCCCTTCCCTCACTCTGTCACCAGTCACCCCTTCCTTCCTTCACAATGACAGAGTTAGGGAGGGAATGACTAGTGACAGAGAGAGGGATGGTGTGACTAGTGACAGAGATGGGGGTGACAGTGACAGAGGGGAGGTGGGAAGGGGCATTTGGGGTGAGGGAAAATACAGACAGGTGACTAGTGACAGAGTGAAGGAGCGGGTGACACAGTGACAGAGTTAGGGAGGGAGTAACTAGTGACAGAGAGAGGGATGGGGTGACTAGTGACAGTCACCCCCCCCCCTCACTCTGTTACCAGTCATCCCCTCACTCTGTCACTAGTCACCCCTTCCCTCCCTCTGCCACTAGTCACCCATTCCCTCACTCTGTCACTAGTCTCCCCCTCTCCTTCCCTCTGTCACTAGTCACCCACTCCCTCACTCTGTCACCAGTCACCCCCACTCACTGTGTCTCCCCCTCACTCTGCCACCACTCAACCCCTCCCTCACTCTGCCACCAGGTACCCCCTCACTCTGCCACCTGTCACAACCTCCCACACTCTTCCACCTGTCACCTTCTCCCTCACACACTCTGTCACCTGTCACATATGCATTCACACAGACACTATATACAAAAAAGCACATGTAGTCATCCAGACATGCACAAGTGCATTCACACAGACTCAAATACAAACATGCATTGATACACAGGTCTTCACAATACACACATCCAAAGGAATGCCGTATTATGAATTATATTTAACATTTATTAAAATGCACATATATTTGGCCTTCAAAGGGCCTGGGATCTAATTTTGCCCGGGGGCCCCAAAGGCTCTCAGTCCGCCCCTGGCTACCTACTAAACTCTGCTGAAACTAAAATCAAGATAATACCAGCGCTTAGTAGATATTCCCTTATAGTCCAAAATAGGGAAACTAAAATGCAGAATTATTACAATAAATTTTAGAGTTCTAATGTCAATTAATGGAAGGATATGTCCACATATAATCATTAATTGTAACTGTTTGCCAAATCTTGTAGTTGAAGTCTGTGTCCTTCAATGTAACTTTATGTCCCACCTTAACTCAAAAAGACACTGACATAGCGTAATACTGTTACAAAATTTATTCCCTGTTGATACATAAAAAAACTCCATAAGAGAAACCCTTATACGATCTTGTGGTGGAAAGCATGAGTGTTACAATGTACAAGCCAGAGTTGATGTTGTTACCACTCCATTGATAGTTGCTTGCACACCGGTCCTGTGTAGTGATGTACCGAACGGTTCGCTGGCGAACGGTTCGCCGGCGAACGGTTCCTGGCGAACATAGCATGTTCGCGTTCGCCACGGCGGGCGAACATATGCGCGGTTCGACCCGCCCCCTATTCGTCATCATTGAGTAAACTTTGACCCTGTACCTCACAGTCAGCAGACACATTCCAGCCAATTAGCAGCACACCCTCCCTAGCAGACCCTCCCACCTCCTGGACGGCATCCATTTTAGATTCATTCTCAAGCTGCATGCTTAGTAAGAGGAGGGAAAGTGTAGCTGCTGTTCATAAGATAGGGAAAAGCATAGCTAGGTTAGGGATAAGGGTATGCTTTTATTTTATTTTATTTTTCTATGTAATGTAAATGCACTTAGTTGTCTGCCACTGCTGCCAGCTTCTGTGTCAGGCTCACAGTGCTCATTTCCCCAGTCAGTGCCACCAATTACATCTGGTGTCACAATAGCTTGGATTTAAAAACAAAAAACTTTTTTCACTGTTATAGATTGAATAGCAGTCGGTTGTCTGCCACTGCTGCCAGCTTCTGTGTCAGGCTCACAGTGCATACTGTGCCCATTTCCCCAGTCAGTGCCGCCAATTACATCTGGTGTCACAATAGCTTGGATTTAAAAACAAAAAACTTTTTTCACTGTTATAGATTGAATAGCAGTCAGTTGTCTGCCACTGCTGCCAGCTTCTGTGTCAGGCTCACAGTGCATACTGTGCCCATTTCCCCAGTCAGTGCCACCAATTACATCTGTGTCACAATAGCTTGGATTTAAAAACAAAAAACTTTTTTTACTGTTATAGATTGAATAGCAGTCAGTGTCCTTAAAGCGGGTGTGTTACGCTAACAGTGGATACGGTGACAAGTGCCACTAATTAGATCCTGTGTCACAATAGCTTGGATTTAAAAACAAAAAACTTTTTTTACTGTTATAGATTGAATAGCAGTCAGTGTCCTTAAAGCGGTGTGTTACGCTAACAGTGGATACGCTGACAAGTGCCACTAATTAGATCTGGTGTCACAATAGTTTGGATTTAAAAACAAAAAACTTTTTTTACTGTTATAGATTGAATAGCAGTCAGTGTCCTTAAAGCGGGTGTGTTACGCTAACAGTGGATACGCTGACAAGTGCCACTAATTAGATCTGGTGTCACAATAGCTTGGATTTAAAAACAAAAAACTTTTTTTACTGTTATAGATTGAACAGCAGCCAGTGTCCTTACAGCGGGTGTGTTACGCTAACAGTGGATACGCTGACAAGTGCCACTAATTAGATCTGGTGTCACAATAGTTTGGATTTAAAAAAAAAATAATCTTTTTTCACTGTTATAGATTGAATAGCAGTCAGTGTCCATAAAGGGGGTGTGTTACGCTAACAGTGGATA